AATGTAATAAGACAGTTTATTTTTAATACCACATTAGTGTGGCACCTTTCTGAAGCACAAGCCGTTCTCCACACCTCAAGGGAGTTGTCGGACGTAACAGAAGCCGTGGTGCGTTTAATAGTCGTGTGGTAACAATGGTTATAAGCGTAAATAAGATCTGAAAGGACGTCGATATATCGAAAGGTGTTTTTGTGTGTCGGGTACCTCCACATTTTTGTTTGAATAGTTCTGTTAAACCTCTCGACCACGCTAGCCTGCACATCGCTGGCCGTAACGAAATGTTCCAAAATTCTCACGTTTGAGAAAATCTTGGAAGGTCCTGTTAAGAAATTCTTTACCCTCATCCGTTTGTAGCTTTCTAGGAGCACGCCTCTCTTGCAGTATATTTCGGAAGGCGCCTGTCACGGCCCCTCCAGTCTGGGCTTTCAGCGGCACGGCCAAAGCGCATTGAGACAGCATGCCTATACACGTTAAGATGTAGCAGAAACCGCCGTTGAACTCGCGGTGTTCTCTCATGTCCACCAAGTCGGCCTGCCACTGCCAGTCCATTTCGGACACCAGCGTCCTGTGTCTCTTGAAACGTACGCGCACCGGCTTGTGCAGCGTATAAGCAGCCTGGCCGGACAACCACTCAGCCATTCCCGATTCCCTAGGGTTATAATAGAGCGCACTCAACCCCGCTGCAGACATGGTCCCCTTCCAAACCAATACACACTTTTACACACCTAAAGCGAGGGATGCGCCGCCTTGGGTCTTTGGGACCCTGAGGCTCCGGACCGACCGGCCGGGGGGGAAGGCGGGGGTTCCGACCCTCAACGAAACACCATTGGCTCCTGAGGGTGCGGGACATGCACCCATAACAACACGCCATTGGCTGGCAAGGGGGCGGGGCATCCACCCACCGCTGACTCCCATTGGCGTGGTACCTGTCAAAAGTTTGACGAAAGGTGTCGCTTTATAATACTCGCAGCTACCCACCTTCATATGGACTTGGCGACGTCAGCGTACTAGGTGGGACACTGGCTCACATGAGAACTTTCCCGAATATCCCGAAAATCATATCGTCACTTCCTAATGAATTTACGCATCCATCGCTTGGGAAATCATGGTAATATCTAACTTAAAATTGATTTCCAGTCACGCCACATTTATTCATCATGAAGTTTGTAAATATGTTTACTAATAAAAGTGTCATTTATTCATAATGAAGTTAAATCTCTGCTAATAGCTGTATTACAGCTAATGCATGTAGTGTCTTGAGTAAAAAAAAAACGTAGAGCCTTTAGTACGCGATAGTGAATTTTTAGATATCTTGAGAAGTGAAGGGAACTAAGATTAATGAAATACCCATTTTAACAGCGTCGAAGTCCTAATGTGTTCTGTCATATCCGGGCGTCAATTGAATAGGTCTGTTCTGTCATCCAGGGGGAATCGGGGACGTTGAGGAATTGGGGGTGCAGAGAATAAGTTGTGTAGGAAAATGTAAGGGTACTTAATAGAAAAAAACTAGATGAAGTACAACAAATGTCTCCCTTGAAGGTGCATGAGATTCAAATGTAGCCAATACATAAAACCGAAATAGCGGTGTGTTCTCTTTATTCGTCTGGAGGATCTGCTTGTGAATCTGTATCATCTTCTCAATGGAATTAAAAGCCGCTGTAATATGAAACATGTTCAAATCCAGGCCCCCAGCTAGTGTACTGGTTTCTTTTGTAACGCTAATGCAATCGAGTAGTAGTTATGTACCCTCATCTGGTACTTTTGTTTTAAGCGGAAATGCAGTTCTTACATTAAAAACGAACATTGAAACGTCAGGGACATTGAGTTATATATAAACACGATACAAAGTAATATACTGTACATAACTTTGTAATAATAATAATAATAATAATAATAATACACTTTATTTTATATAGCGCCTTTAAAGGTGGCTTCTCAAAGCGCTTTACAGGATGACATATATACAACCGGTATATACTGGTCTATAAATAGTACAGTATGACCTGAGGCGGCAGCGGCGGGGGCGCAAACCCAGGCGAACCCCGGAGCGCTACAATATGTTTTTTTATTCTGCCCTGCGATAGACTGGCGTCAAGTCCAGGGTGTATCCCGCCTTGCGTCTGTTGCTTGCCGGGATAGACTCCGGATCCCCCGAGAACTGGATAAGGCGGTTAGAAAATTGATGGATGGATGTTTTTTTTTAATTTGTACAAATACTAGGTAGAAATATTATTCGGGAGAGGACGTTATGAGATGAAAAAAGCCAAGCTTACGTCGTTTGCAACTGCCTTTGGCTAACCTGAGCGTGTTGGTAAACCGTCTGATCCTTCTCAGAGATCAAATCAGAACCGACAACTGTAAATTATTCCGTGGCCGCAGGTAGTGACAGAACCTAAAACACACACGGGAACAGAAACTGCCCGATTTTGTATTGAAATCAACGTGACAAAAAAAAAGTCGGTGCAAAACCTATTCAATTGTAATTGTAGCTTTTAGTTAAATACTTTATTAACAGTCCCCTCCGCTCAGTCATCTAACCTTAGAGCAATAACATTGTGCGTGTAACACGAGCCCATTAAGGTCGCTTTTCGCTCCCCCAAAATAGCAATAAAAAACTCAAAAGGTTTTATTTATTTCATCATTCATAGGCTATTGTTTCAAGACCTTCAAGCCTTTTCCCCTAAGAGGAATAGTTTCTGACAGAGCCTTCTGCTGTACCTTAGCTGTACATCAAAAACAGCAATTTGTATTTTTTAAAAAACAAATCCTTATAATCTGCATCATTTTACAATGCCATAATATTTCTAGGTCTATACTACTACAGGAGAAAAGTAAATTACTCACCTCACCTTAATGTTAAGAAGCCCTCTCTCAGATTGTTTAGAGTGCTTTGATTGTAGAGGCAGTACGAATGCCACAAAATCTGGACTAGAAAACCGGTTTTTAATGTCTGCCTGGTGATTTGAATTAAGCAATCAAATTCAGAGTCCCCTGCACAGTGCTTCACTGTCCGTGAAAGGCGGGTTACTCATCTTATACTGTATGGCGGGTTACAGGTCAAATAGCTCAATGGCTGACAACACACAGGGGCGGGGAGAGGGTGGGTGTCAAAAATTCACACATCAGCACCCTTTTCCAGGAACAAGGTAGAAGATACACGTTTCCAGCAATTGCAAAACAGAGATGGTACTAATTCTCCCAAAAGCAGACTCCATCCCACATCCGTATATATAGCGAATGGAGGTAAAATTATTACAAAACACCCAGATGAGAAGGATACGATTATTGGATCAATTTGCTGCTAGCTCTCAAAAGATCTGGGGTAGGCTAACTTGAAACGGTGGCGATATTCTTACATAAAATAAACCGGTGAGTGACGTGAGGTGGTGAAAATGACTGTCAGGGCACAGTTATATCAAAGATCTTCAATTGTATTTACCCTAGCTGTTGTAGAGGCCTCTTAACTGATTTTCATCCACCGGGCTTAATTTGGAGAGATATCCCTAAACATGAAAGTTTTAAAAGGCGGTATGCAAGCTACAGCCCGCAGGTTTTCGGGACTGAAGACACTCGTTTCCCTTCATTACTGCTAATTCCGCATTTCTTAAAATAGATGCGAGGATGAGGCACAAATTCGGTGATCTTTCAGGTTCGCTGACACTTTCTTCATGGTTCAGGAGCGCTTGCTCCTGCTAGCTCTGTAGGGCGCAGTTCAACTTTCGCCTCTCACCCAGGAGTCATTAATGTGCGCCCGCTGTCCGGTCTAACTAACGATCTGACTGCCCCCAACTCCTATCTCTGATCTAGAACACGCGTATAAATAGATCTCAATGGCAAAAATAATATTTTTTTTTTAAAAAAAGGTTGGGACCTAATCCAAAAACCCTTTGCTGATGTAGTAGATTAAAGAATGAACATCTTAAATAAATCTTAGGGACAGGAAAGGTAAAGATGATTCGCAATATCTCCGACGGCGTCTGCAAGGCTGAAACCCACCGCCTCCGTTCTTGCCCCATGTCTGTCCTTGAAAGTTGCGTTTGTTCTGCTTTCCTGCGACATTGCGTTTTCTTTTTCGGGCTTGTGGCGTTACTCAGCCCCCCTACAACGCCGCAGGGGAACCGAACCGGTCTCGTTCGCTTGTGCTGCGTTTGCGCCGCCTTGTGCTGTTGGAAGTGGCTTCCGAGCTGCCTGAGTTCTTGAGACATAACGGATTATTTTTCGGGTTATCGCGGTTTACGGCGAACTTGACCGGTGGTACCACATTCTGTGAAGTTCAGACACTGGGTTACTGGATGAAATTCTGGCAATGTCTGCAGTTTTGTTTCTCTATTTGTCTCGGGGTGGTGGAGGGGAGATTTTAAAAAAAGCGAACATTAGCCAACGATTGCATTTTCTTAAGAAGAAGGCTATCGCCGTCATGTAATAATACTCTGTAGCTGTGTCGGTTTTTATTTTTATAACTGAGGCAAAGGTAGAGGAAAGTTTGTCAGTGCCCCTAAATAAATAGACAATTCGCAGACCGTTTAAAGTTTCGACTCGTCTAACTGACATAAACTCAGACATGCAGACAATCAAACCGGGGCCAATGTTGTACCAGAAAACACCGGAGAACATGCAAACTCCACACAGATAGATCCCCGGGGGTTGATTCCAAGGGCAGCAGACACGTGAAAACACGATTAAGGCGCTATAACTCGGGAGATAAACCAGCTGGGAAGTTACTTTCAACGGCACAAACCGGCACAAACGCAGCACTAGCGAATGAGACCGGCTCGGTTCTCTTGCCCCCTCATGGAGGGGGGCTGAGTAACGTCACGGCCCCGAAAAATTAAGGCGCTCTATCTCGGAAACGAAAGCATTTCGGATTTATTTGTTTTGTCGTGCTCAAATGACCTGTGTGGGTAGTCCCCGGGGACGCAGGTGCTAGGGACATTTCTACTTTTGTGGCAGACTCACGTATTAGGGAACAAACGTCTGGAAGCCCGTTTCAGCCAGGGAATAAACCGCGCTACGGTATCTCGCAATTGCGACTTTGTATCGCAGAGGTCCGAGTTTATATCTCGCAATTGCGACTTAAAATCTCAGTTATACCCGAGATATAAAGTCGCATTTGCGAGATAAGAAGTAGTAATTCCGAGATTCGATGTCGTAATTCCGAGATTCGATGTCGCCATTGCGAGATATGAACTCGTAATAACGAGACATAAAGTCGTAATTCTAAGATTTTAAGTCGCATTTGCGCGATATAAACTCGGACTTCTGCGATACAAAGTCGCAACTGCGAGAGAAAAACTTGGACTTCCGAGATACAAAGTCGCAATTGCGAGATAACAACGCGTTTTTTTTACGCCCTGACGGAAAAGGACTTCCATAGGGGGGTCCAGTTTAGGCAATAAACAAGAGCAGTTTACATTTCCTCTTAGATACCTGTATGGTCTTTGCTAGCTTGGGCATGTTATGTTGAAAACAAAAAAAGGTAACCAGGAAAGGAGTATCAGATCCGAGATTCCTTTTAATTCCAATTTTTTTTTGTTTTGTCTGTATTTGTGGCTGGTGCCGGTTGAACAGAATCAATGTGGCCTCCGAGCCTTGCGGACGGTTTTTCCGTGCATCTGCTCGATGTCCGAAGCGCCTTGTTGTTTTTCTTCGCCTTTCTGATCGTGGCGGATCTGTTCAAAAACAGGAAGCCAAGAAACTTTCCTCCGGGTCCATGGGAACTGCCCGTCCTAGGAAACATTCTGAATTTCGACACTAAACGGGCGCATCTGTACATTACAGAGGTAGGGGCGATTCAGTTGCGAGATAGGGCTCTTAATTTCTTTCGGTTTGTGTTTGTTAAACCAAACCGTTCAGTGTTCTAAAGAACCGGGATACCGCAGATACTGACTCCTGTACAAAAATCGGTATTCACATTGGAGGAAAGTATTGTGCTGTAGAAAGTGACCAAATATTCATTATATTGGACTCGGCTAACAGGTAACTTGTGCGTAACGCGGAGAGCGGTGTGATTCAATTGCGCTATTCAGACAGAGTAAATGAATCAATAATCAGAGCTTATTTATCATAATGGTAATTAAACTGCTAATCTCCGTCCGCAATTCAAAAGTGAAGTGTTCCTACGTGGATGAAAAGGTAAACGAAAGACGAAAGAAAACACATCAATTAAGCTATTGACGGAGCCTGTTAGCGCCAAAAGTCAATAAACACATGGGCTCAACTGTTACGAATACGCAGGTGAAAGGACGCAGGTCCCAGATGTATTTACCAGAATTCTGTCAGTCCGGAGTAAATTCTACTTTTGGTTTGTGAAACCCTTGGATCTCACCCAGATACCTTGGCTCTTAAGTGAATTTGAGTGGCGAAGAACATCACAGGTTGAGTCTAGGACTCACGATTCACACTTTCTCCAGACCTCCAGACAAATTGTCACTTTCGATTTCAGAAGATTGACGCGATTAAAGCGGGATATCGCTAAGAAATTAAACAATTTGAGCATTCTGAGCTGCAAAAACTTTGTAATTGGGATGAATTATTAATGATTCAAACTACTGGCATAATAGTAGTAGTAGTAGTAGTAGTAATAATAACATCAACCCCTGATTTTGCCTTTTGCTCACTGTCATTGATGAGGGCAGGGCCAGTGTCTTTATACAGCCCTTTAAGAGCTGAGTTGGAAGGAAAACCCGCAGACAGACTGGCCTTCCAAGACCAGGACTGGATGTAGCGGTCTCAGTTTTGTAGGTGAAACTCCTGACGACATTGCCAGTTCTTTGCAGCTTGCGGAGAGACATGGGAACGTCTTTAGCCTTCGAATCGGACGGAGGATGGTGGTCCTGAACGAGCTGGTGAAAGAGATTTTAGTCCAACAAGGAGATGACATTTCAGATCGACCCATGCCTCCTCTGATTGAAGATTTCTTCGAAAGGAAAGGTAATTCCGTTTTATTTTTCCTGTATGGTGTAATTAAGAGTGTGTGTTTATATGTCTTTAATAGTATTTACTTTTGCAACCAGATGCCGGTTTGTTACTGTCCAATGGTTACACTTGCAAGCAGCAGAGACGATTTGCTCTGTCTACCTTAAGGAACTTTGGACTGGGCAAGAAGAGCATAAAATCTTACAGAACTCAGTGTTGAATCGGTTGAACTAGGCCAATTTAGCATTTACTTTCCCAGATGCTGCTTTAAAGATGGCTTGAAAGTCTGCAGACATAACAGCCCTCCTGAACCAGAATTAAATCTCTTGATCTATAGAGTAGACCTGTAGTTTTACTCCTGTTTCATCTGGTTTTAATCTAAAGGGTACGTTTAATAACTGAGAGTTATTTAAAAACGAATAACTCAATATTTCTGCGGCTTTAGACTTCTTACACCTGTTTCTGCATTTGTCCTTTATCGAAAAATACTGTGCTGCTTGTCTCTAAAAAGGGAGAGTGGTGTTATTGAGGAATTAGTTCAGAGGTAATGCCATTTTCTGAGAAAAAGCATTACCAATAAAGTAGAGATCAATAATTCAGCCTAACTGGGGCACACAAAAAAGCCAAAGACAGATGTGTGCTTTGGGATCAGTGTTGAAAACAGTTTTAAATCAGGGATCCTCAAAAGCAATCCAATGGATATTCTTTCAGCTAACAATCTGCAGAGAAGGATGGTATCGGTCCACTTAAACATCAGTATTAAAAAAACCTTAAAATGAAGTCAACCACAAAAAACCCCTTCAGAGCATTTTTAGTTCACACTACTACAGTGCGTACCAGACTAGTAATAGTACAATCCATATCTTCTAATAAAGTTAATTCAGAAAAGCATTTTTACTTGGGAAAATTGAAGTCCAACAGCTTTTCCATCATAGAATGCTCTGCAGTAAAAACATGAAAAGATATTCAAGCAGGGAGTTCACACAGCCCTCCTTAGCATAATACTGCTACAAGAATTATTGGGGATCCTTTGCAATATGAGCTGGTACCTTCTTCAAAACACCTGCAGTTCTTAGTCCTGAGTGCAATGTGCTCTTTTGTCTGTATGCCTTCAGTTTCACATCCCATTGCTGTGAATGAAGAGATCTTTTTCCTTGACTGTGAATATATCACAAGGATGTTGAAGGCTTGAATCGACTCCTCCACCAACGTGTGTTTCTGGAATGCAGGACGGCCTTTTGATCCCATGTTCTTCATCAACAACGCGGTCTCCAACATCATCTGCTGCTTAATGTTCGGAGAGCGGTTTGAGTATAGTGATGCCAGCTTTCAGCAGATGCTGCGGCTTTTGGATGAGGTCATGTACTTGCAGGGGAGCACAGGTACTGCAGGTACTGTAATTAACATGCCATCTTACTTTCCCATTAAGCATGTTGCTATAAAGGAGCTTTCTAACTCAGGCCTGAATTATAATCACCATTGCCGATCATAAATCACCAACATAGGAAATGATGGCCATTTTTATGCAAGAAGATTACAGCACATAACAGGATGTTAGAGATGTCACAGAAGACCTTAGAAAGGCATGAGACAGTGGGGAACACTCTCTGGTCCCACAGACTCTATAGGCAACTTGTCCAATTCTTGCTACGTGTCACATGGGTCACAAAAGCGAAAGTACTCCACAAAGAACTGAAATTGCAAGTAAAAGACATTTTAATGTATACTAAATGTATTTTTTATTTGTGTAATTAATATGTAGCTGGGTGCTTTGATCTTGATCTGATTTGATCTGGAGCATGTTCTACACATATTCTGCATACTTGGGTGCAATGCAATACTTACAATACAATACAATGCAGAAAATGGAATACCTAGAAATGTGAATGAGAAGTGAACATAGATTTTTGTAAAGTGCTTAGGAAATGTTTTTATAAAATATCAGACGGTTTGGGCCAACATCTGTGGGCTTTGCTCTCTACAAAGATAAGGTCAACAGGTTGAAGAAACCAAACATGTAATAAAACAGTTTCAACTAAAACGGTCTTGAAATCTCCTTGTTAGTTGTACAACGCATTCCCCATGCTGATGAGGAGGATACCTGGGCCGCACCAGAAGTTCTTTTCAAAGGTGAATGCACTGGCTGGTTTTGTGAGGTCTGAGATCGAGGCACACAAGGAAGATCTGGACATCTCTGCGCCCCGGGACTACATCGACAGCTACCTGATCGAAATCGAAAAGGTGAGAAGATGACTGGGGTGAAAGGATACTGCCCTGGAGGCAAACCAGGAAGCTGCCTTTTTCGTGATATGAAAACAGAGGAGCTTAAATGATGTGGTGAGGATCTGAGCCATTGAAGTGTTATTTCCAGGGCGACAGCTGTAACATAAACGCTGAATTAAATTCATGAGGTCTCAAGGAGTATTCCAGCTGTACGTACTTGCAAGAATCAATCTGGTAGGATTTAAAACAGGAAGTGAGCTCAGGAATATAGCAGGCTGAGGGACACTACTGCTACCCTCTTGAGCAAAATCATTGGTTCAGATTCCTCCTGGTAGCTCAACCGTAAAAAAACAGATCTAGAAAATGAACACGGAAAATCCCAAAACAGGGAATTGTAAGTCACTTTGGACAAAAATATATCGGCCAAGAGATTTAGTAATAAAGTAATAAATAGTAATACATTCTAAATAGTAATAATTAGTAATAAAAGCCCAAGGCTGCTTTCTCTTGTTCTCCTCTGCTGATGTCAAGTTGTTTTCCTTGAGATTTTATCTGGAGTGGTTCCTTTTTTTGGTGTAAAGGAGACCCTGAGGCAGCTTTTGATGAGGAAAATTTGTCATTCTGCACACTGGATCTGTTTGGTGCTGGGACTGAGACCACATCCAACACCCTGTGCTGGGCTCTCCTCTACATGATCAAATACCCAGACATCCAGCGTAAGACCGGCTCGAGCTCGCTGTGGCCCTTGGGAGAGAGATGGTTTGCAACTGTCTTGTAGGCTGTACACTGTCTAATCAGTTGTGCTATTAGCTCAATTAAAAGTTCAATTCAATTAAGCAGCTCAAAGTCCAGCCTGAATGAGGAGTCACGAGGGTCAGGATTGGGAAGCCCTACTATAAACTATTTGACCTTTCACTGGTACTTCAGAAATGCCCACTCTCTGTCTGATCACCCCACAGCACAATTCACGCTGCATATTGAGTGAAGTGGAGCTACCAGCTGCGGAACTGTTGTTGCACTTGCTCTGTGTTGTGCTTGCTGCTTTATAAGAACTGTATTTTCCTTGTTAGGGCAGCTGGTTCTCATCAGACCATTAAGGATGTGGTAAGGCCTTGCGCCTTTCTGAGCTATTCTGCAAGTGCGCTTACCTGATCACCTCTGTTGTGGCCTTACGTTTCCCTAGGCAAGGTGCGGGCTGAGATTGACAGAGTGATCGGACAGGCACGGCCCCCTGCAACAGAGGACCGAGCCAACTAACCCTACACTGACGCTGTGATCCATGAAATCCAGAGAATGGGAAACATTGCTCCTCTCAGTATTCCTCATATGACCACCAAGGACACCAACATCCAAGGGTATTTTCTTCCTAAGGTGAGAGAGATCAGAACAATACCCAAGATTTTAGGGTCTTGCATTCATTTCTGTTTTTCCATTTACAAAAGTGGTAAGCTTAAATGTTCAAATATGAAACTAGTTTGATTTTTCACCTCTCCATCCTTTCTTTAGGGTACTCTAGTGATAGCAAATTTGACCTCTGTGATGTTTGACAAGACTCAGTGGGAAACGCCAGACACGTTCAATCCGGGCCAGTTTTTGGATGCAGATGGCCGCTTTCTAAAGAGAAACGCATTCCCGCCATTCTCAACAGGTGAACCTTGTTTGTTGAATATTGTAAAGTCTGGTGTTGCTCACTAGGGCGGTCAAAGTTCCTTAACGTTTTCTCCCAGGCAAAAATAAAGATGTATTTCTTCAGTAATATGCAGTCATGTGAAAGTATTAATAACTCTTTGATATGCTAAAGCAGTCAGTCCATTCAACCATCCATTTTCTAACCAACCTTGTCCAGGTGTATTGCTCCCCATCTACCATGAAGGCAAACCAATCATGAATGTTAGGGCTTAATGGCACAGGCCAAAAACCGTTGGCCAGGTCTAAGACTGAGAACACGCTGTGAAAAATACTAACTGAAAAACAGAAGAAGGGTCAGCCACTAAGGGTGTCAATTTGTCAGTGTATTTATTTGCCTCCTGATAATTAACAGTGAAGCGCCATGCCCCACTTGCCTTTTTTACTGGCCATATGGGACTATTGCTTTTACTGTGGGTCCTTCTAATGATGCCCTGTTCCATTCATCTCTGCACTACTGGCCTAATACCAACTTCAGCTTCAAGGCCAATCCTGTGCGGTTTTGTATAGGGTGGTTGTTTGCCATGAAAGTGACAAGGGACATGTCCAAAAGCCCACATTCGTCCTTATCTTCTGACCATATGATTTCACATAACGTCTATGCGGAACCTGTAACATCCTGTTTTGTGAATGCTGCACTTTGCTGAGTTCTGGCAAAGTGCCGTCTAAGGAGGGGGTTTTCTGTTAGACCAGCATAAGATTGGAAAGGACTGAGTCGACAGTTGGGAAGTCATATGTGCTATTACTTTGTTTGTTACACTGTATAAAAAGACTAACTTTATAACTGTTCGGAGAAACTGACTGTGGCAAGCTAATCTCCAGCATGCATGCGTAATAAACGACTCTTCTTTAACCAACATCGGGACTCCCCCCTACACCCCCCTACTCCAGTTTACTACTTTCAATCCTGTGGGCTACTCTAGTGAGCGTCTCAAATCATTCCTCACTCTCCTTAAGGTCCGGGCGACTTCACATAATAGTCTTAGAAACATCTGCTTTCAACCCTCCCATGTAGATCTGTTTTATAATGGATGAGGTGTCCTCATTGACTTCCTTCTTATCTGCCAACCCGGAATATTCTATCCATAAAGTGATAAAAGGTTCAATAAAATCTGATACATCCTCTTTCTGCTGATAGGCTCTCACTTTCTTCCAGTCTGCTTTCTTTCAAAAATCTCCATATTAACTCAAACCCTCTTGCCTCACCATTAATCCCACATATCACATCCAACTGCCCAGTCCGCTGCTCTCCAACTCTCCTTAAAATCATTGCTGCCTCAATGGGTTTTATGCCATACATATCTTTTAACACTTGGAGAGCTGTCCAGGTCTGTTGCATCCCTGCCTTAGGGTGAGGAACTTCCTTGGTCCATCGATCAACATCTTCCAGTTTGACCTAATATTCGGTTATCAGGACCTTCTCCTTTCTCTGAGAAATCACCCTGGAAGGAGAAGGACCCTCCTCTCCCTCACTCAATTTTTCTTCATCTGAACCTACCTCATCTGCAGCCTGTTTTCTGGTAGGGAATAAATAAGTTGGCTGTTTTTATCTCTGTCGTACCACGTATCATCCCAGTCAGATCCACGCCCCCCATACAGCCAGTCGGGATACTTATCCCAGGGGTTATCGTTCCTTGTTTGCAAAGGTCTCAAATCTGGATATAGTTTGAGAGGCTTATTGCCCTCCCCCTCCATCTTCTTTTCTTCCGCTTTTTGAGAGTCTTTTGTCTCTACTTTGCTTTGTAGCTTATCTCTTTCTTCAGTCAGTGTATCCACCTGTTCTACCATAGTTTCTCAGTTAAGGACTTCTGTACCTTGTCCCATCCCATTTTTTCACTAGTGGTCTGTCTACATCTAAGGTGCTTTCCTAGAATCAGCCTGGTTTTGGTCTGTTTGTTTTTATTCCAATGTTCATACACCTTTTTACACTCTGGCTCCTTCCAGGTACGGTCAGACAGGCCATATTTCTTTTTTTAGTTTCTCCTCTATCTCTTTCAACTTCTTTTTCTGTGACACCCAGTCAGAGACCTCTGTTAACTTGTCTTTACACCAGCTCATTTTCCCAGACCCACGCAAACCACTCACGTTTGGCTTTACTGTGCATTTCTGTCTTTAAATGGGTGGGGTATTATTCGAAACCCCTCTATCTCAGCCCGCGTGGCCCTGGTACACCCTGGTAGGCCCTGGTACCCCTCAGGTACCCCCCCAACAACCCAAGCATTCGCGGTCCTCGCTACAGTGTTGAGAAAATCCCACTCAGTGGTGTGGAGAGGAGAAGGGACTTTTTAGAAAAGAGGAGTCCTTACCTCATTTAGTAGCGGCGCCCAACTTTTTCTCTCCACCGACAGACTGGAGTTCCCTTCAGCTGGTAGGACCCTGCTTGCAGCGACAAATTGTAGTATCAGATAAAATGACAATTCTGATGTTGGTGAAAGAAGAGTCGTTTATTTCGCTTGCATACGGGAGAGCAGCTTGCAGAAGTTAGTCTCTCTGAAAGACGTTGCTCAGCGCTTTTTATACTCAGTGATGGACAACCTTCCCACTTTTGACACAGATTACCAAATCCCTAAAACGAACCATCGGTTCTCATGCAAGCTTGGGTAGAGAAAAAGAACACCTTATTTGGACTTTTTGTTTTTTGCTTACAGTTACAGTGCAGAACATTCAACTTCCCTTTTACTGCATTTAAGACATGAGCTGTACTTGTCCACTGACCTATAGATGCCCACTGGTATGTTTCCACTTGCCAGGGTTATAAGCAGTTAGGAAGCTAAAAGATAAGTTTGTGACAAGGATATGTTTTTCCAGTTAGGCAATCAAATGATTTTTGTTTTAATAATGTCTTGTATACACCGAGAACAAATGCAAATTCAACAATGCTGATTGTTTCACTATTATTATTTTTTTTAACAAATCTGCTTACATTTGTACCCATCTACACAACTGGGCTTTGCACTAAAGTGGATATGAACCTGCAGCCTTTCAGTTACACGGCCCAAGTCCTCATCACTGCCCCACACTGTTGCCTAAGTGTGAATGACTGTTTTTCAGCCTGTAGAACCCTCTCAGAGACACAATGGCATTAATCAAGTTAGTATGTCGTGCTATGCAGCTCTAAAGACAAGATTTTATCTGTTTTTTTTTCTAGGGAAGAGGGTGTCTGGGGAACCAGCTGGCTCGGATGGAGCTGTTCCTATTCTTCACTTCCCTGCTCCAGAGATTTAGTTTCTCTCCTCCTGCTGGAGAAGAGCCCAGTCTGGAATTCAGGATGGGAGCCACACTCAGTCCAAAGGCATTCCGGCTCTGTGTTGTCCCTCGCTGGATGAAAACATGCGGATTATATTCATTGTCAAGTCTTACTCATCAATTCTAATTGACGTCTAAAATGTCATGAGAGAATTAACAGGATCAGCTGCAAGTATAGTGGCTCTCTGATAAGCAAGAAAGCTATCAGAATGTTTAGATCACAGATCACATGTGATCATCAACATTTGGAGGGATTGCGAATAGAAATTAATGGTGCAAGATATTTTACTTGTCACCTATGTATTTCTTTTTGAAAAGAACAAACTCCCACACATGGTCGGAGTATTTGGAAATGAGGTTTTCAGCTCAGATTTGTTAGCCTGAATTGTTTGTGTTTATGAGACTTAAATCCAAAAATATTCATTTCCTTCTTGGGTTTTCTTTATCTCTCCTATAAAGTGCTGAAAAAGTGTGCATATCTCTTTACTAATGAGCTTTGGAGTTGAAATAAAAATGTACAAAAGTGCAAAAGTGATTGGTAGCAAATTGTGCCTCACAAAAATGTTACTGTCAATAAGAGAGATCTGACAAGCCACTGCATACTAAACGAAAGCACTGTAAACATGGTTTCAAATTTTAAAAAATGTATATAAAAAATAAAACTTAAACCAATACTTCAGGCATTTTTGAGATACTGTTCTTCTAAAAAATACATAGTTCTGTTCATTTTCCTTTTTTTCCAGTTTGTTCCCTGGCTTAAATGAGAGATAGTGACCAACATCTTCTCAAGAACCCCTGCAAAAGATCAAACAGATATCATTATCTGACAGTCACTGCATTATTTACCTTACCAGGGAAGAAGACTAGTTGTGAGACATCTTCAGCTTGACATGTATCAATAAGGAGTGAAGATTTAAATTTTCCTGG